AACTTTAAAAAAATATAAAACTTTCCTGAACGAAGGAGATTTACCTGAGTATAAATCAAATGCCAAAGTTTCTCAAATTCAAACACCATAATTACATTTATAAAGAAATGGATAATGTTCTTAAAATATTAGTTCTAGTATTAGTTGTTATTTATACTTCAGTATTCAAAATCACCTGATAAAAATCTTTCAATAGGCAGCATTTTCAGTATAGCAATGTATATTACTAAGACAGCTCCTTACTAAATTGTTGGGTCACAGAGAATTTGACAGATTATTTTAGCAAACTGCTAAAGCTATCTCCATGAACCAACCTTGCTAATATAACTAATAAGATTTCTATTTCTTAAATCGAAAAGATAGCTTAAATGAAAAAAAAGTTTCAAGTGTATGTATATCAAAAATATACATTGACCCTTTAGAGCAGCAGTCCCCAACCTTTTTGACACCACGGACGGTTTTCATGGAAGACAATTTTTCCAAGGACCAGGGGTAGCTAGGGGAGGATGGTTTCTGGACGATTCAAGAGCATTACATTTACTGTACACTTTATTTGTATTATTACATTGTAATATATAGTGAAATAATTATACAACTCACCATAGGTTGGGGGCCCCAGCTTTAGAGACTTACTAGTTTTGGAATAACTGAATAAAGTAAATTTCTTCGAGGGAAGTTTAACCAGTTTTATACAACAATGACTGTTAGAAGATGCAGCAGTATTTAACATACAATCTATACTTTAAAATAAACCCATTACATATATCCTAAGATGCCTTAAAATTTACTAAGATCCACTCTAAACTTTTGTTTGAAGCAAAATATTTGTGTTAAAATTATTTGGCTGAACTAATCAAACAAAGCTGGTTTCTTTTAGCTAAAATGGGCAGTGTAGAACTTGAGAAAACAAATACTGCACATTCCTAGTCATACACTTTAGATTTTAAAAAACAAACCACCACCCTGTACAAACCCTCCAGCCATCAGTGACATTCTTTTTTTTTTTTTTTTTTTTTATGAACCTGACATTGTGAACATATATCAGTGACATTCTTAGTAGGGCACAAAAGGCGTGAAGTATAACAAAATTACTTGTGATTAATTTTAAGTCATTTTTTTCCCTTTGTATTTGAAATACAGCAAAACTGGCATGGAAAAGGAGCACAGTAAGTTTTCCTGCAGTTACAAGGAAGGATCACAACCCCACAGTTGTAATCACTGTCCAAGGACACCGCACTAAAGCCGGGTGGGGATGTGTAGAAATACATCCAAAGGTAAATACTCCAAAGGTAAACACAGTGTTTTTGTTTTTTGTTCTCTTTTTGCTGTCACCAGTAAAAAGAGTCCATTCTATTCCCCTAAAAGGCACATTTCTTTTGAAAATAAAGTCAGAAGAGAGCAAATAACGCAATTAGGCGAGAGGCAAGAATCTCCTTCCCTGTTTCTCGCTCTGGCCTAACATTTCATCTTCCTTGGACAGATTACCAGATGAATAGGGCAGATCACAGGATCAGGATGAAAATATCCGTCTTGGCCTTAAACCCTCCCAGCCCCAAGTCCAACGCTGCCTTATTTTTTCCTGTTTCTCTGATTCTAATCCCATCCAAAGCAAGGCTCTCGGATTAACCCCACCCCTGACCACTGTCCCATTCTCTGAGGTTATCTCCCCCCACCTGCCCCCGAATTAGCTGTCCGAATGACTGCCAGGTAGATGAGCTAAGAAATAAAAAAAAGACTCTGAGGCCGAAGTTGGGCCAGCCACGAGGGTCAGTAAAGGAAAGAGCGAACGCGGTAGAAAACCACTTGGAAAGAACTAGGAAAGGTCCAAGGGTTCGCGAACAGTCTGTGCCGTGGACGTACAAGCCCTGGCAGATAAAGGCAGAAAGGCAGGGAGGAGAGCGGAAGGAAACTCGCTGGAGAGACATTTTGGGAGCGTTAGAGACGCACTCCCTCTGGCGTTGAGAGATCTGCAGTCAAATCCGAGATGCGCCCGAGTCTAGGTGACAAGAGCAAACTCTCCATTAACCGGGTCATCCTCTGCAACCCGGAACAGTCCCCGGATCCCCAAGCGACGCCCCCTTCCCACGCCCGCAGCATGGTCCAGCCCGGTCGGATCCAAACTGGCAGCGAGCGCGGGCGGAGCCACTTCTCCCGACTCGGGTTCCCACGCGCGGCCCCTCCCGACAGGACGCCCCCCGCCTACCTGTAGCACCAGCGGCTCGGGGTTGAAGGCCAGGGTCAGCAGCAGCTGCATGCGCTCCGAGTCCTTGAGGTTGCGGAGCAGGAAGCTGCCCGAGTCCTTGGTCTCGGCGTAGCGGCGAACCAGGCGGTCGAGCAGGCGCTGCGAAGGGCAGTGCACCAGGTCCGACCAGCCCTCCACCGCTTCGGGCGTGAGCAGACGCACGTCGCCGTTGAGGCGCGCGAACTCGGTCCGGGGCATGGCCTGGAGCAGGTCGCAGCGGGGCCGGCCCGTGGCCCGCTTGCAGATGCTCTGGTCGAGCTGCGCCAGCTCGCGCTGCGAGCCGAGGCGCTTGAGCACCACTCGGCGGCGGCCGCCCTCGCGGGGCTCGCCGTACTGCGCGAAGTAGACGTTCTTCACGTTGAGGAAGTCCAGCAGGCGCAAGCGGCCCCACGCCTCGAACACCACCTGTCCGTTGAGGAAGCGGCGGCACCAGCTCGTACCGAAGCACGCCGGACACTTATTGAGCTGCAGGAAGCGCCGGTCGGCCAGCTCGTTGCGCTGCCAGGAGGCGAGCAGCGACGGCGAGTGCAGTACCATCAGCACCAACAGGCTGCCCAGCGCCGCCAGCTTCAGGGAGCGGGACAGGCGGCCCAGCTTCGGGGGCACCAGGCGCCACATCCCGCCCGCCCGCTCCGGGAGGGCGAGGGCACCCCCGGGGCGCCCCCACCGCGCCAAGACTCCGAGAGCGACCCGCAGGGGCCCCGGGCGAGAGAAGGAGCGCGGGCTGGGGCGGGAGGCGGAGTAGGTGTGTGAGAGAGGGAGACCGGGAGCGGGAAGGAGCCGACTAGAGCAGGCTGCGACTTCTCCCAGTCACTAGTCTCCACAACTCTCGAGCTCCCTCCTCCGAGCTCCCCGCCCTCCGACTCTGGCGGCACCTCCTCCTCGCCAGCCAAGTTATAGAGGAGCGGGAGGGGGCGGGAGCGCGGGTCGCGCGCCCGTGTGCGCGCGCACGCGCACTGCTCGCTCGGGGGTCCGAGAGCTGCGGCGGTGGCGGCCAGCGACCGGCGTGCGGGGTCTCCGAGGAAAAGAGGGACTCCCAGGAGGGGAAGAGGAGCCTGGAACGCCTCACACCCCAAAGTAGCAACGCGCGTCCCCGACGCCGCACACCCAGGATCGTACACGCTGGCTTTCCCGAGAGCGGGAGGGAAAGGGCCAGGGGGCGGGGCCGGCGGGGCGGAGCGAGCCCGTCGCGCGCCGCCCAGAAAGCGTAAGCGCGGGCTCGCGGAGGGCTGGTGGGGGACGGTCGGCGGCGGGAGCTCGAGTTTTTGAGGGGAGAGGATAAAGTCGTGATCTCTGGTAGTAAAAGGACTTTTAGTAATAGATAATCTTTTATGTTTATTAAATTTTACTGGGCTTGCCTTTGCCACTGTGGAAACGGTTCCTTAAGAGCGGAGGGGAGGAGAAGAAATGAATCGCGAGAGCCTATTACAAGTCCTTCACCTCGGACGGCGCGCGCGGGGCGGAGGCAGAGTGGGCGGGGCAACCTCCCCTCGCCTTATACGGCTTGGGCGCGCGCCCGGGGGCGGGGCGAGGCTGAGGAGCGCCAGGCGGGAGCACGCGCTCCCCGCCCCCACCCTGGCTCGCGCGCCTGACTGTAGAGGGTGGGGCCTGCGGAGAAAACGGTGGGAAAGGCGTTGAGTTGAGGCGGGCTGGTTGGCCGCATCGTCTTTAGGCGTCATATATGTGGAACCGTTGTAAATTTTCCCGAGTGAGCACGGAAAGAACGAAGTCCTCAAGACACTGTGTTAAAGAGAAAATAGGGTGAAGGGGAACCACCGAGGCCTGGTGTCGCCAGGAGGTCTGCCTCTACCGTCGCGAAGAAGCAGGGATGAGATGTGGGCAGGTTTGCTTTTGCTCCCAGCCTGGCCCAGAAGCCGTTTTATTCTACTCCGCGAAGTGAATTTACCGGCGTCGCCCCTGAGCTTCCCTGAGCAGCGGGCGGGCGCCCCGGCTCCTCCCTCCCTCCGCGGGGCCCGGGCCTGCCCTGTGGCCTGCGGCGCGTTGCCGTGGCGGTAGCCATGGGGACCCGCGCTGCCTGGTGCTCCAGAGTTGGCCCAGAGTCACCCCAGACCGCAAACATAACTCGGAAATGCTGAACTAAAGCACCTTGCTTTGGTGTAAGTTTTAGGGGACCTAAATTGTTTAGTTGTAACTGTGAATATATATTTTATTATAATACTTTTTACTTCTAGCGCTAGAATAGTTAAAATAAGGAATGATTGTTAGTCTGAGGGACAGGTGGTTCCTGGTACGTGATTAAATATCTTGGTTTTAACTCAGTTAATTTTAGGGATTGAACAATGATTTTTGAAGGCCGTAGTAACTGGCACGTATGGAAATAAACACTTCGCTGAAACTTATTGAGAAACAACTATGCAGATTATTAAATTCACTTTTCTGTATTTGATTGTAATAGAGCCATCTTGAGAACTGTCGAGGTGAATGTTTTGTTCTTTGTGATATAAGAATTCTAACTTTGAAAAAATATCTTTGGGCAATTTAATAAGTATATTCAACATAGACTTAATTTTTAAATGAAGATATATTGAATACAGACAGATTGGAAGATTTAGTCTTCAAAGACTTGTACAAAGTGACTACTGTATTTAGGAAATTTGGCTGCAGCAACTGACCTGTATGCTGCCTTTGGCACGAATTTTATTTAACTTACCTTCACGTATCCGAAAACTCCATACAATGTATTTAAGATCAAGAGCTCAAATGAGGGTTTCTTTTGGAAAGAGATTGGTGCGATTGGTCCGGAGACCTGTGCAGTAGTTTGCTGCTGATGAATTGTAATATAGGTAAGTTATTACTAAACTGCAAATTTCTTATCTCTGACATGTTTTTTACCTGCCTCATAAATCTGTTGGATTAATACTAGATATGTGGAATTGCTTTAAAACAATAAAAGGACTTCATAAATTTTTATATTTACAGTTAGAACTAATAATTCCCTTGGCATTCTTGCCAGTATACTGATTAAGCTGAGTAGAATTGGGGCATAATGGGAGACTGTTTAGGTGACTAGTAACAGGATTCAGGAGGGACCTGTATTCCTATGTATAGAAAGGGTCCAATCCGTGGAATTGTATAGCCATCATTTGAAAAGTGGAAGTCTATGTACGTTACTAGTCTATATAAGTTGGTTACTAGTCTATATAAGTTGAATTTTGAAAAATGTTTGCTTTGCATATAAATAGTTTACATTTTTTAAAAGCTTTAATGTTCTTTTCAGTTAAATTTTCTAGACATTTATCAAGAAAGATAGTCTTCAAGAACGTAACATATTCCTCAAAAGGAAATAAAAAGTCTTAGAACCATATGAGATAAATGCCATGTTAGGGTTTAGAAAAAGATAAGTAGTTTAAATAAAATTCCTGGCAGAGGTGGCATAAAATAATCAGTTGTAGCAGTCAAATTTTATAAGTACAGTAGTCACTTTATACAAGGCTTTGAAGACTAAATCTTCCAATTTGTATTCAATGTAATATCATTTAAAAAATCACATCTATGTGCCATCATAAAGTGCCAAATGAAGGTTTAGAAAAAGATCAGAAAGATTACTCACCTTTCCTGGGAACTGCAGGATACTTTCAGCTAATGATCATAAACTAACATCCAAAGGTCTTGACCATTATTGTAAATAATGGCAAATGTAGTTTCCAGTGCATTGTAAAATGTCATTTTATAATAACTATCACTGTTACAATTGTATCCAATGGAATTAAATACCGTAGTAGTTTGATGCCAACTATCGTCTATTTTGATAGTCAAAGCTTTACATTGTATTACTATTCTATCCTGGTTATCAGTGGTTCTGAGCAAGGGACTATTGCCTCCCACGGGACATTTGGCAATTAGGGAGACGTATTTGGTGTCGTAACTAGGAAATGGGGTGCCACTGTTGTCTAGTGGGAAGATGCCAAGGATGCTGCAAAACATCCTACATTGCAAAAGAGAACCCCCAACAACAAGGAGTTAACCAGTCCCAAATATCAATAATGTGCTGTTGATAAACCCTGACCTACATAATTCTCTTATGTTGTATGGTTTTAGGCATGAAAATCTTACTGCTTATCATACTTTCCTGCAGGAAACAAGATGTGTTGACCTTTGAACAGTCAAGTTTGAAATGCATGGGTCCACTTATATATGTACAAATGAGTATTGAAAATACAGTATTTGCTGGATGCAAAACCCATGGAAAGCCGACTTTTTCTGTAAGTAAGTTGTGCAGGGCTGACTCAGGGACTTAAGTATGTGGGGATTTTGGTATACTCTTGGGGATCCTGGAACCAATCCCCGCATATACATGGGGACAACTATATTTAAAATTTATTTATATCCTGTGATCATAATGTTCTAAATGTTAAGTTAATTTGGAGGAAATTTCTTTGTCATTACAACAGTTATTAGTGTTCACCTGATCAAAACAACAATTTTTAATAATTAAACATAAAAAGTAATATTAAAATGTATTTCTTAATGAGCTTGGACTTTTTATTTAACTTAAGTTTTCATGGATAAATATTATTTATTGCTAGAATCTAACAGTGTTGAACATCAGTTCTCTTTCATTTTTAGAGATGTAAAGGCTAAAACATTCTGTTCATTTAAGTTGAGAGCAAAGAGGAGTATTTATATAGCAATGTCATTCAATTATTTTTATTCTTTTTGAGTTATATGCCAGAAATCATTTACTAATAGCAGTCTATCATCAGAATATTGTTAATGACAATTATCACTCAGGTTCTCTAGTTTGGTTTAGAAGCAAAGCATTGGAATCCCGTGTTGGAAAATGATTTCTTACCTAGTCATTAGAATTATTTTCTCATATTGACTCTATTTAGTGCCCTAGCAGTTATGTCCTAGGACAATGTGCCATAGTAAGATTCAGGATGGCTAAGGGTAAGAGGTATTCTTTTTGTAAAGACCCAAAAAGCAATTCCCTGTGTACTGAAGTACCCAGAACAGTGTCTGATATAAGTGGTTGTTTCATTAGTAGTTGTAGGATGGCTGAATGAACAACTGAAGGAACAAACACTTTAGGATTAAATATTGTTGTAAAAATCCAAGCTAGAAATAATAGGTGTTAGCAGTGAAGCTGATGAGAACTAGTATATTCTAGATATATTCTGAAGATAGAACAAACAAAATTTCTCAAGATTTGGATGTGAGAGACAGGGAAGCATCAGGGGTATCACTGCATGGTTTTTGTCCTAAATTACTGTAAGAGTTACCATTTGTCTAAACCTGTTGGGGCTTCTATAACAAAAATATCATAGACTGGGTATCCTTAAACAACAGAAATTTATTTCTCACAATTTTGGAGGCTTAGAAGTCCATAATCAAGTTGCCTGCAAATTTGGTGTCTAGTGAGGGCACTCTTCCTGATTCATAAATTCTCATATTTTTGCTGTGTCTTCACATGGCAGAAGGGACAAGGGATCTCTATGGTCCTCTTTTAAAAGGACAGTAATCACCTCCCAAAGGCCCCACCTCCAGATACCATCACACTGAAGATTAGACTTCAAAATATGAATTATAGGGGTGGGGGACGACACAAACATTCAGACCACAGCACCATTTCCTGAGAATCCGGAGACCGAGAGGAAAAGGATGAGAAAGATGCAAGCTCAATTCCCAGTTTATTCAGTGCCACGTTTGTGTTTCTAAACTTAATTTAGCTGTTGAAACCACATGGTTATCCATCAAAATATAAATATTATCTTTTACTTTCAGTCTAATTAAAAGATCTACACAGTAATTTTCCCATAAAATGATGCAGATTTTTCTCCGTGTTTCTACCTACAGTGCCTAAAATTCAAACACTTGACAATGTTAATTGTAACTCTTCTGCTAAGTGATGTTACTTACCTGATTTATTTGTGTTAGGAGATATACCTTAAGGACTGATTTTGTTTTTAAAGGTTTTTAAAAGCTATTCATTGTTTCAGTAGAATTTTAAGCACATTTTATTGCATTTTAAATAAATAACCATAGGTGTTTTCTAAGACAAATTCTTAAGCAGTTCACTCCTTTGGTTGTATAAATAGAAATATACACATACTCATATACACCAAAACCATGATTTTGCTTGAAATAA